CAGTCGGCAAACCGTCGCGGAAGTGCCCGCCTCTCCCGCCGCCGACATCTTACCCGCTGCGAGAGCGGCGGCGGCGGCGGCGGGTGCCGCGTTGATTGCCTCGCCATACAGCACGCTCATCTGCTGCGTGGCGAGCACCTAGCCGAGCCGAGCCGAGATGTCTCCGAGAGATGTCTCCTAGATGTGGGGAGATGTGGGGAGATGTGGGGAGATGTGGGGAGATGTCTCCGAGAGATGTCTCCGAGAGATGTCTAGGAAGTGTCTAGGAAGTGTCTAGGAAGTGTCTAGGAAGTGTCTAGGAAGTGTCTCCGAGAGAAGTCTCCGAGAGATGTCTCCGAGAGATGTCTAGGAAGTGTCTAGGAAGTGTCTAGGAAGTGTCTAGGAAGTGTCTAGGAAGTGTCTCCGAGAGATGTCTCCGAGAGATGTCTCCGAGAGATGTCTCCGAGGCTCATCCGAGATCGGCACGCTCAGCAGCTGCGTAGTGAGAGGGGTGAGAGGCCCCCAGACACTCAGTCGTGGCGCTGCTCTCGGCGAATCCCGGCGAATCCCGGCGAACCCCGGCGAATCCCGGCGAACCCCGGCGAACCCCGGCGAGCCTCGCGCGAATCTCGCGCGAATCTCGGCGGGCTCCATCTCGGCGGGCTCCATCTCGGCGGGCTCCATCTCGCCTCGCGCACGAAGCGGCGCTGCGAGGCGGGCCATGCCGCCGCGAGCAAGTCGACCTAAACACGTCCTGGACACGTCCTAGACACTTCCCAGAGGCCATGCCGCCGCGAGCAAGTCGACCTAAACACGTCCTGGACACGTCCTAGACACTTCCCAGAGGCCATGCCGCCACGAGCAAGTCGACCTAAACACGTCCTAGACACGTCCTAGACACTTCCCAGAGGCCATGCCGCCGCGAGCAAATCGACCGTGTCCGCGTCGAGCGAGGGAGGCGGCGGCTCGTCCGAGGAGGACCCAGGCGGCGGAGGCGGCGGAGGCGGCGGAGGCGGCGGAGGCGGCGGAGGCGGCGGAGGCGGCGGCGGCGGAGGAGGAGGAGGTGGAGGTGGTGGTGGAGGCGGTGGTGGCGGAGGGGGAGGCTCCGCCGAAGCCTCGACCGGTGTGACCACCCCGCCGCCCTGCCTCTCGCCTTGCTGCCTCTCGCCTTGCTGCCTCTCGCCCACCTCGGCCCCTCCCCCCCCTCCGCCGCTGCCTCCCCCCTCTCCGCCGCTGCCGCCGCTGCCGCCGCTGCCGCTGCCGCCGCGCCCTTCGCGCCGCCGCCGCGAGACGGACGGCAGTCCGGTGGCTGGAGACGTGACAACCGTGCGGCGGTCGGACACGGCTTGGCGGGCGGCGACCGCGGCGGCGGGGGGAGCCGCGGCGGCGTCAGCGGCGGCGTCAGCGGCGGCGGCGGCGGCGGCGGCAGCGGCGCCGCCCCTCTCCGGTGTTGCCGGGCCGAATTGCGGCTCTGGCGGCGCGGCGTCGTCGGAAGCGGTGCGGCGCGTTGCGGCGGGTCGCGGGGGCGTGTCCCACTCCCCCGCCGCCACGCTCTCTCCCATCCTCCGCACCGCAACCTCCCTCGCCCTCGCCAGGACGGGCTCGCATAGTGGAGAGACCGCCTGATGGGGGAGGGTCGGAGGAGGTGGCTAGGAGGTGGCTAGGAGGTGTCTAGGAGGTGTCTAGGAGGTGTCTAGGAGGTGTCTAGGAGGTGGCTAGGAGGTGTCTAGGAAGTGTCTAGGAGGTGTCTAGGAGGTGTCTAGGAGGTGTCTAGGAGGTGTCTAGGAGGTGTCTAGGAGGTGTCTAGGAGGTGTCTAGGAAGTGTCTAGGAGGTGTCTAGGAGGTGTCTAGGAGGTGTCTAGGAGGTGGAGATCTGGGGAGATCTGGGGAGATATGGGGAGATGTGGGGAGATATGCCCGCCTGCCGAAAAGCAGCTCGCGCCGCGGCCCCGACGGCCTCCCACAGCGGCCGGCTGCGCGCCTGCTCGGGGAGAGTTCCGGGAAGGTTCCGAGAAGGGGCGGGGAGGGTTCCGAGAAGGGGGGCTGCGTGCCTCCGCCGCGTCTCGAGATGTGGGGAGATGTGGGGAGATGTGGGGAGATATGGGGCTGCGTGCCTCCGCCGCGTCTCGAGATGTGGGGAGATGTGGGGAGATGTGGGGAGATGTGGGGAGATATGGGGCTGCGTGCCTCCGCCGCGTCTCGAGATGTGGGGAGATGTGGGGAGATGTGGGGAGATATGGGGCTGCGTGCCTCCGCGGCATCTCGAGATATGGGGAGATGTGGGGAGATATGGGGAGATATGGGGCTGCGTGCCTCCGCGGCATCTCGAGATATGGGGAGATGTGGGGAGATATGGGGAGATATGGGGCTGCGTCCCTCCGCCGCGTCTCGAGATGTGGGGAGATGTGGGGAGATGTGGGGAGATATGGGGCTGCGTGCGGTCCGCCGCGTCTCGAGATGTGGGGAGAT